CGGGGACTGCCTGTAGTGGTTTGTACGTGTAGACAGCTATTACAGTTAATTCAAAATAACATGTTATTTTGAATTAACTCTGTAGTGTAGACATACCCTAAGGGAGTAATGATAATACAGGTTGAACCTCTCTACACTGGCACTCTGTGGCCCAGCAACATATGTGGTCCGGCATGATTTTATTTAGCCAAATGTCCACTTACTATGGGTATGGTCAAGTTTCCCACAGTCCCATAAAGTTTGTTTATAGCAACTAGTGCCTCTCAGTGTTGTGTTGATATTTAGCTTTAATTTACCCCTAAATCTCTCTAATAGTTCAGTAAGCAGTGGAAGTGTTGGTAATGCTCCTACATAATATGAACCTCTCATAGTTTGAGAAATTATCTCATTCAACACTGGTCAGATCCTGGTGTTGGGCTAGAGAGATTCAACCTGTAATAGAAAATGTGAAAATGGCAGAAGTGATAATACAACTTTTTTGCTTCAGTTTTCACCAAATATTAACAGAGACACGACATCTAACTTACTGAACACCAGTGAAAATGTGATAGGATCTGAGTCTAAATGAAGGAAAGATCAGAGGCCTCAAGTTGGAAGGGTCTGATGAAACACATTCTAGAATACCAAAGAAGCTGACTGAGGAGATATCTGAGACATTAATGATTCCTGAAGCCTGGAAGAGGGGAAATATAGGGCTAATGTATAAGGGGAATAAGGGCAACCTAGGGAATTAAACACCAGTCAGCTCAACTTTAGTGTGTACCTGGAAAGATAATGGAACAAATAATAAGATAATAAAATATGCAATGATCAACTTGGATTTGTCAAGAACAAATGAGGGATGCAAAATCCTGGTTAATCAGTTATCCGGTCAAACCATTTAACCGGTTTAAATGTTTAACTGGCTCACCAACTAAAAGCAGGATCCAGGGTGCAGGCCAGTCCAGCCTGCTGGAGCAGTCCCCAGTCCACCGGGCTCCCACCTCCTGCCTCATGCTGGGGCTGGCTATCAGCTCCCAGCACCTGATGCCAGCTCCTACCTCCTGCCCGAGCAGCTCGTCTCCGTGGTAGTTGCTTATGCTCCCCTCGGGCAGAAGCTGCTCTGGACATTGGAGCAGCCCCTGCCTACAGA